AATGAAAGACTTACCTCTTGTGTGCAACCTTGAGAAGTGTTTTCTAGTAGGTAGAAAAAGTTCAAATAAAGCTTGGACAATCTGTTGAGTTGGGGAGAATGTTTAAGGTTTTAAATCTTTAGTCTAGAAAACAGGGGAAGCATATTTGAGGCTTGATCTTCAAGGACTTTGGGATTTTAGGAAAATTGAAGTTTGGGGAAATGCTCTTTTTCTCCTCTCTTTCTAGATTTCTCTCCTCCCCCTTGAGCTTGAGTCGGATTAGTATTATCTATAGGGAAAGGAAGGGGGGAGCTCTAAAATTCGTCCAACTAGAGGACTTGGGCTTCAAGAAAGCTTTTACAAGAGAATAGGCAAAAAATTTTCAAAGAAAATAGTGCTCAGTCAAACTTCCTCTTTGGTGAAAGATTTTCTTCAATTTGGGGGTAGTTTTTCATGGATTTTATTCATCTAATGGGAGCTTAGGGCATGCCCAACATGGTAGTCTCATATTTAGGGTTGTTAGTGGTAGAAAATGTAAATTTGATAAATTTTTAAAAGTAGTTTTGTCTTTTCTTAGTTTTAAGTGGGGGTATCTTTGGGTGTTTAGGATTTTTGGGTTTATTACAATCAATTTCATTGGTCCAGGTGTTTGAACAGGTCAATAATGGGTTTGACATCAGTCATCACACTTTTAAGGTTTCAGATTGAGACAAATGAGGTGGCAATTTGATCTGGCGTGTTGAAATGACGTCTTCCTAGTTTAATGGTCAAATAGGCGACTCATGTCGTAAAATTTTACATATTTGGGTTTTTTGGGTCTCTGAACAAAATGGTGATGTTTGATTGGCCAAATAGGGTTAGGATGATAGAGATTTGTGGCTGACAAGTTCAGATCAAAGAGATTTGCTGAAATAAAATTTTTGTTTGATAAAATTCAAATGAGGGAATTTGAGGATGAAATTTGGTGGGTAGGCACAAATTAAGGTGGTGACTCAACTAGATGGTTCTAATTTGAGAAATAAATGGTTACTCTAGGTTTCTTAATTTTAGTTGTACGGGCCATTAGAAAGGAAGTTGGCATAATGAATAGTGGATGTGTGACTAATTTATAGTTGTTAATTCTGTACGCCATATATTGATTTGACGTCGATATTAATCTTGATGTTTTCATTTGCCTTGTGAATTGTGTTAAAAGATGAATTTTTGACTTTGTAAAGTCTCAATTGATCTTGGTTATAATTCAAAGTTTTAGGGTTTAAAAGGAGGGTATGAAGAGGTAAGGTGAAGGGGTCGAACAAAAATTGGGTGCTGACACTAAGCCAAGCCATATTTTTTTTTATTTTGAAAAAATAGACAAAAAATAAAAAAAGATCTTAAAATTTTATTTTATATGAATTTTGATGTATACAATATTATTTATATATGCAATAATAAAATGAAATTATATAAAAATGAAGATAGAATTATGTATTAATATATTATATAACTATTATAATATATATATATATATATATATATATATATATAATATGTATGAAATGTATAAAGGTTGTACTACACTGTATCTTGTTGTACGATCCATGGACTTGAAACCCCAGGCCCAACATGACCCATACGATCGTACTATGCTTGGTACATCCCGTAATCTATCATGTCAAGTCACGTGCGGTATGGGGCTATTTACACCTCTATCCCATTATCCCAAAAGTTTTTTTTTTTTTTTGTATTTTAATGCAAGTTACTAATTACTCACAAAGTTAAGGTTAGGGAGAATTCCCGATCAATACCCTGTACTTTGGCTCGAGTGACAATTTGGTCCCCAAACTTTAAAATGCGACAATCTAATACTCAAACTTTCAAAATGTGACAATCCAGTACCTACCATTAATCAATCTGTTATTTAGCCGTTAAATGACATTTGGAAAAGTAAAAAATGTCCTTCAAATGCCATCTAATTCTCTTTATCAACTATCATAACATTGATAAAAAATTGAACAGTCCCAAATCCTAACCTCTTCCATTCAAAAAAGTTAGTGACTGTTTAGAAGAATCTAGAATTTGGGATTATTCATTTTATTGTCAATGTTTGGATGGTTGATAAAGAGAATTAGATGGCATTCTTAAGACATTTTTTACTTTTCAAATGTCACTTAATAGTTGATTAATGGTAGGTATTGAATTATCATATTTTGAAAGGCCAAGTACTAGATTGTCAAATTTTAAAAGTTCGAATTCTGAATAATCCCATTTTAAAATTCGAAAATCAAATTATCACTCGAGTCAAAGTACAAGATACTGATAAGATTAATAGGCCTACTAGTACTACCCAGCTAGGGCGGACAAAAGTAGAGGGGAATTAAAAAAATTTCGCAAATCTTGTTACAAAGTTTTTTCCCACTTTTTATTTTTTTTTTAATTTATTTAAATTTCACTATTTTTTCCATCAAATCAAACATAGCCTCGTATTCGTATTTTTCTTTCAAAAATACGCTGCCTAAGCCGAGCAAACACTAGTCAAGTACTCAACTACCCAAAACATATATATGCTTCACCCGCATAAAGAAAATGATAGCGACGGAGACTGAGGTATCTTATTCTTTTAGTTGCATGAAAGGTGGAGCACAACCTAACACCTTATTCACGCTTCACACGTGGCTTGTCAGGCGTCCGGCTGCCCACAGGACCATAACACATCTCTGCGTGTGGGCATGGGCCAGGTCTCAGAATAACAACCATCGACGCGTGGATCAAAACCGCATGGTTCCAATTTAAATTTTGAACCTGGTCGGCCCACATTACTTGAGAAAGGTCCAGCACAAATTTATGGCCTTGTGGGGATAGAGCTGGCGCTGCTCGTAGCGACAAACGTATTTATCCAATTAGAGGATCTCCCACTCATGAATCATGATGCCACATGCTAAGTCTATATTCACCACACCTGGTGACGTCTTTGAATGTGGCTCCAAAAGGAGTGCTCGTCTTGTCCACTCGTACCTTTACGAAAAAGAAAAATCCTTTTATTCATTTAAAAACCTTTTTCAATTTCAGCCATCCGATTGATTCCACCTCTGCGGCATTTGAGGCCATTACCGACCTCCTCCTTCAATTTAATTTTCTCCCAACCACCACTGCACCGTTGCCATTATCCATACAAATTTGCAACTGTCTTTTTTAACGGGTCAAGTTTCATGTTATTGACCCCGTTGATTTGTTGGTATTTCATCGGATAAGTTGGTTAATCAAGGTAATTGATGATATTTTGGTAGTTATATATCGCTATAATGGGTTTTGATATTTTTAGAAAATATCAGTTATTAATTAGGTTAATTGATATTAATGTTAATATGTTGATACTTAATCTAGTTGACAGCTAAATCATGCACACCTTTTTTGAAGAAGGGGACGTCTTTATGTAGGTAGATTTCTGTAATCTTCATGAAGCATATCTAAGATCACCGGTTCGTCTGATTTGGAGATGGTTTCATGTTTAGAGATAGACTCTACATAAGTTAAGTTGGTAATGCTTATCCGGTTGCATTTGAAACGAATGGGGTCGAGATCAGTACCGTCAATATGGCATCGTGATTTTGAGGAAGTCGAAGACGATAACCTGCTCGAAGAAGAGGTTGCTCATGGCATCGAACAGGCCTCTAATTGAATCTGGGCTAGGTCAACGGAGGCAAGCCGCCTCTTCACGCCAACTTGATATCTTCCTAGGTCAGCCTGCCGAGGTGGAGCCGAGGAAGTCGAAACAGGTGTAAGGTGTCCAAAATGCTCTCAAAGTTTATTTACGTGGTGTTGAGATGCCATTTGACAATTTTGTGGTGCCACGTATTATGATGTCACCCCTCATCAACATCTATACTAAATTGAATTTATATGAATAACTTTTGCTTGGAAAACACTTGCCCAAATAAATTAAAACAAAATGCTTACGTTTAATTGTAGTGCAAATAAATTTGCATGGGAGCAAATCTATGATAGCACAAATGGTTTGATTGTAAAATTTGATTTTGTTTTTGTCTTAAATTTTACTTTATTTTATTTGATCACGGTAAATTGGAATTATAAAATTAAATTAGAATTAGAATTATTTTCTTTTACACTCCCATGCATTTTGGTGTGGTGCAAACAAAATTGCATGGCAACCAAACACAGCCCAAAGGATACTTTTGTTCCGAATCAGCCTTCAACGTGGCAGAAAAGTATCGTCGTCGTGGGTATAAAATGGAATATTTTTAAGTCCTTTATCTTCTCTACGCGTACGACCAATATTCGTCGAAATCGGGTCTAGGTCCGAGCTCAAGACTTCCACTCCAGTTTAACCAACACGGGTATGTATTATTGTATGTTAACAACTTAACACCCAAGAATGGAATGGGTTCGGGTCGTAAATGCCTTGACCGAAGTATTGTATTAATAGTTTTAGTACGAGAGAGAGAACCTTCATCACACGGGTTGTTTGGGAATCCACGAACAAGCTTTCAATACTTACAGAGTAGATGGATCGTACATGCCAGACCAACGTCAGAGAGAGAGTGCAATTTTAACGTCTTCAACGTTAACGACGACTACAATCGGTTAAATTCTTCCCGTTTAACTTTTCCACTGTTTGATTGGAATCCCTGATTTGTTTTAAATCAGGCATCACGTTTGATTTCATCCAATGGTTGAGATTATACGACGATTCTGAAAAGTTTTCTGAAGGGGGACGAGAGAGCTTTTGTGAAAGGTGAAAAGAATAGTGCAGGAACAGACAGTCGTACCGGAACACATATTTCAGAGCGACAGCGCTCTCTCTCTCTCTCTCTCTCTCTCTCTCTCTCTATCCCTATCCAGTCTCTCTGGCGCTCTGCGCACACTCGTCGCCATATTGCTTTGGGACCCGCAACAACAGTTTAACATCCAATAGAATTATGACACGTGGTGGAATGTCATGTCAACAAGATAGATGGCGGTGTTTATGTGAAAAGCTATAAATACGGGCGGCGTTAGATTACAGGAACCATTACTGTTTCAGAGCGTGTGAGAACGTGCGACCCTGAAAAGCTTCTTCTTCTGTCTGTCTGTCTCTCTCTCTCCGTCACTGTTCCCTAAAGTGAACATTCTCTCTCTCCTCTCTCTCTCTCCCCTTCCCTCGCGTCCACTCAGTCTTCCAGTTATGGAAAAGAGAGAAAGGTCCGGTCTCTTTCATCTCAAGCCATAAGGGAACCATGGAGAGGTCTATCTAGGTTTTTTTCTCGCTCTCTTTCAAGCTTGCTGTTGCTATAATGGCAGTTCTCACTGATGCGTCAATAGTTAGCTTCCGTTCGTCCTAGAGAGCTCGGTTAGTTCAGAAGGCTTCAGATCGTCTTATACGCTGCAGAAAAGATTTTGTGATTTTGGAACTTGAGTTCTTTTGTGTACTATTTCCCAAATCTCGGTTCGACGGAGTTTCAGTTCATCTAGCTTACCAGAAGTATTATTTGGATAATATTAAGTTTGAGGATTTCAGTCTAACTGCCGACTGCCGTATTTTCTTTTTATTGCTCCGAAGGTTCGAAACGGTTTGATTATGTAATGATCTGCGAGCATTAATAATCTACTAAGATAACCGACATCTTAATTCCTTCGAGAAAAAGAATCAAGAGATGAATTACAGTCAGTTGATGGCTCCAAGTTCGTGTCGTCGCTTGTGTTAGTTCTTCGGATTTTTAGATTAGGACCTTTTGCTTCTTCGGAATCTCGTAGAAATGAACTAATTCTGCACTCTACTCTATCTCGCTTTATGGTTTCATGGAAAATTTGTACAGTATCAATCCAACGATTTCGTGCTCAGATGAGATTGCGGGAGTCGGAAACGTAGCTCTGCCGTCGAGGTTTCACCGTCGGCTCGATAATCTACTTCAATTCGAACCGGGCGAGGCGGAGATCTGTGGATCGGAGATGTCCGATCTGATTAAAGCTCAGATAGCTAATCATCCTCGTTATCCTAACTTAGTTTCTGCTTACATAGAATGTCGAAAAGTAACCGGTCCTCTCATGAACTCGTTTGTTCTCCATTTGAATTTCCCGACGAGATTTTAAGTACTTGTCCTATTTTGACAGGTCGGAGCTTCACCAAAATTGGCTTCGCTTCTCGAAGAAATCGGTCGCGAAAGTTATCCGAGTGGTGCCTGTAGTACTGAGATCGGAATGGATCCCGAACTCGACGAGTTCATGGTAACCGTGGCGGAAGAAAATTCCTTTTCAACCCTTAACGTTCTTTCAGTGATTTAGTTGCATTAAATGTAATGATCATGAATTTTGAGGGATGTTTTACTGACGTTGCAGGAATCTTATTGCGAGGTTCTTCATAAATATAAAGAAGAGCTGTCGAAGCCTTTTCATGAAGCGACAACGTTCTTGAGCAATATCGAGACGCAACTCAGTAATCTCTGTAATATAACGTCGACAGCGACGACGACGACCTCCGGGAATTCTCACTCAGGTAAACGTTTCACAATGCGTATGTTATCTTGTTGAAGCATAACTTGCGCCGATTGGGTTGGTTGCTTGCTTAACTGGAGCATAGGCTTAGATTACTCTTTATACATATACATACGTGGAAGTATACAAGTGGTGCAGCATGTATACCGAGAGCTAGTAATAAGTATACAATCCCAGTATTTGCAGCTATGCGCATGTTAAAATGTCGCAGGATGGAAATGATTTTTCTCGTTTTTCCCGCAGAAAATAGTGATACCTCTTAAAAGACGTAGTGTGTACTGTGCGCTTACCCATCAACACTGTGGAGTGTGGAATGGTAAGCCACACGCAGAGATGTTCTTTTAGTGCTTGGTCTCTTCAAATACTTCTCTGCTTCTGTAGCGGGAAGCTGAGACTGGCTTGTAAACCTAATTCCTCATTTTTCCTTGTTATTCTTTTCTTTTTGTTCCAAATTTTCAAAATTGGAATTGCTTAACTGCATGTTTGAAAGGACAATCACCTGCTATTAAAGTTCAAGTCCCAAATATTAATCCAGTTTTGGAGTAGCGGCTACCAGAGTAAGAGCTATAACCTCTATGTTTATCCCCAAGTTAATGTTATCATTTATAATATCCGCCTTTCTTTACCTGATGCTAGTGTGTAAAAGTGTTGGTATCATGTGGGCAAGTAGGAGAAAGAGGGTTAATATGTAACTAGGTATACGCAATTTTCTCCAGGGGAAATGTGGAGTTTAGCTTTCAAATCATCTTGTTGCAGTTCCCATGTCTCGGCCTGTTATTGTAATCCTCGGTTTATTGGAAATATTTCCTCTGCCATGAGGCTTAACTCTTTCTTTTCTTTCCGTTTCTTTGTTTTTGTTTTGTAAGATGTAAACCCGGAAATTATGAAAAGAAATGTCAAACTTCATGAATCATGTCCGAACAAGCTTGGCTTACCACTTTACCAGTAATATTATCTAAGGTAGAAAATGAATCATAAATTCCAGTCTCATACTCTTAATGTCCAGTTTTGAATCCTCAAAATTTTCCTTTAAGAGCTCATTGATGCTAAGTGTTGAGCTCCCTCCCTCTCTCTCTAAAAATTTCGTTTAAGACAGTACCGAGGTGATTAGGACTGTATTTGCTTTGTGAATATATTATTTTATGGGATTATAGTCCTTGGCTTGGACAAGTTTGGTACGATCATTTGTGGTTCGGTTAGGAATAAAAACATTTTCTTGTGTCGCAGCTGCAGGATCAGAATTTTCTATGCACTGAAACCCTTGATAACTCTTCATTAGCTGAAGAGAACATAAGTTTAAGGGTTTTCATTTTGAGAGGTGAGAGGTAAATATTGGGTCCATGGTGAATGCCATATTTAATGATCATGACTGCTTCTGTTTGTGTCTTCAATGTGCTAACTTTCGATTCTAAAGTTTTGTATGACATACACGCAGGACACATGCATGCCCGTGCATATGCACACACACACACGCACAGCTAATGAAATGGAGAAGTAGCTCAAGTTTGCAGTGGAATACATCGATGATTGCTTCAGTTACAATATGTCAATGTATGTGTTAATGAACATACATTGACATATGTGCTAATGAATTCATTAAAAAATGTATGTGTTCATGACATACTTTGTTTCTTTTTTTTGTTTTTAGGTCATTAGGTGGCATAAACTAGATATTTTTGTAAATTATTTTTGCTCATTTTGGTCAACACTTTGCACTTGTCATCAAACTTTTCACGGCTTTTCAATGATGCACTGAGTTGATGACAAAGAAACTATTGGCTTGTACACATGTATGAGATTTCACTAGGACGGATATGTCCTACTATTTTTATTCTTGCTTTTTTCAGTTTGTTAATTATTTATGTAATTAGGTATAACTTGTAGCTGTATACTGTTCGCCAATTTCAGGTTGACATACCAGACACCCGGATACACTTGGAAGCTAAAGAAGAACCCTTTTTATGAGCACATGCTTAGAAGACAGTTGCATTAAAACTATAAAAAACAAAAGGGGCAGCTATTATTCATGAAACGAATTTAAAAGTGGCTTCTTTTGATGTGCATGAAATTTGTAATAATGTTTATATAGCATGATCGGAAGTTAATATGTGAAACAACAGCTTTGGCTTTTGTTATTAAGCTTGTGAAACCTCTTGTCAATGAATCTATGTGATCATGGGTGATGTGTATGAGCTTAGGGAATCCTGGAGTTAAGAATTTGATTCAATGTGGTTAAGGATGACACACACAACCTTATGGAATCCTGGAATTAAGACTTTAGCATTGAGGGATTTTAGGAACAGAGTTGTTCTATAGGTTTTGTCCTATTTTGGGACTACAGAGTAAAATACGGTTATAACATTAATTGTCATTCCAATATTGACCTCACAATATGTCAACGTATTGAAATCCTTTTTATATATCATGACTGGAGTTTGTTCTGCGTGTTCACTTTTGAGTTGACATGCCATTTCCACAATAATTTGTCTTTGGAATAATTTGTTTTCTGATGAGAGTAGATTTCATTTGTAATGGTTACTAAAAAATCAACATATATCTTGGACAGTTTCTATATATGGTTTGCAGGAATTGCAGAAGATAATAGAATATGAAAGAAGAGAACAGAAGGTGGTTTTGGGAAGAGCAGACCTGAGTGGAGAGAGAAAATCAACTCTTCTGCCAGATTTCTATTTAAATGTTGAAATTTGAAAATAAATATTAAATGGAGATTACAATTATGCCCCTGTTTTAAGTAGGAAAGTTGGCATTTCCTAAATTGTCCTATTTAAGTAACCGAAAAGACCAAAATGTCCTTGGGAGTGAATAAAAAAGTTCATAAATACTACTGCCTGAACATATCTGATTAAATTTGGTTTATTATTTTAACTCATAAATATAGACATAATGATTTTTCTTTTTCATTGTGGAGGGAATTATTACCTTAAGTGTCACTATCTCTATATTTTTCAAATAACTTGAGAATATTAAGGCCATGTTTTTCTTCTATATCGGCTTATATTCTGAGATTAGGTGGTACCTTTTTTTTCTGGTTTTAACTTGGAAAGTGGTGCTAGTTATTTTATTCAATTTAAAAATGGTGGCTTCTTTAGTGGTTCAGAATTGTTAGATTTTTTTCTATGAATTATTTGATTCTCGCTTTTATGTTTTATTAGATGTATTTTAGTCTTTGAAAACTGTATTACAGAATGAACTGCAAAGGCTTTGTCAATGGTTTGTTTGTAGGGCTATCTATGGAAATGAAAGTTCAAACCCAATTCAACATTCCATCTGATTAACATCTGAGTCTGATTAGATATTATCATTTTATATGTATGTAATATAATTATTTAGATATATAGACTTTATATGCAATTATATATAGTTTATAACTAATACATTAAATATTTTATATTTATATATGTATAAGTTAAAATCTAAGTATTTTCTTAAAACACTATAATTTTTCCCTTCATTTTAGGCACAGTAACCCAGATTTGGTTAAATCTGAATCTAATTCTAGTCTGGCAATGGATTTTAGATTGGATTCGGGCTTAATGTTTTATTAATTGGATTGGATTCAGATGTAGCTGGATACATTCTGAATCCGACCTGATTACAGCCCTATTATTGTGTTTAACTATGATTTCAGCTTGGTTTCATAATTTCAATAATAAAAGGAATTGATATACATAGAGAATTAGGAGAACAGTAATAAATAATATGTGGAGATTACTATTTTGTTTTTCTAAACTTAATTGCAAACTATGGCATAAAGTGATAAGATATTAATTAAATGGTAATCTGTCTTTTGACACTTTGGCTGGTTAAAAAAATTCAATGGTTTAACCATGGTTTTATATTTTTTCTAAAGTAATTGGTTTTAAGGTAGGGTTAATGGTTTTCCACTTTACCTTTGAGAACTAGAAGGATTAGTGGTTTGTGATTCAACCCTGCGGCATGGTCTGTTTTTTAAACATCAGATAGTGCATGCTGCTTGTCATTTAATGGATGGCAGTAATTTTAGATATGATGATCCATACTTTCTATTTTTTGTATTATTTAAGTTATCATGCCATGTGTGGGTTGACATGATGGTGGTTGTGGCAATGTTCTATATTTTGTCTATAATATTTTAATTTAATGCTGTTATTTAATTAGTAAAATGTAATTTTTTGATGTGAACTTGAAAGGTAATGGCTTGAAAAGTTTTCGTATCAATTCTAATTGAATCCTATTGTTTGTTATTAGGGTTTTACTTGTCTTTTCTAGTGGTGTTTCCTTTATTTCGTATACTGCCTTTGCATTCAATGAGATCATGAGGTCACAACCATGCTACATGGTTATTAAACTTTTTTTTTTGTGTAATAATATTTAGTAACAATGGAAAATGCATTACACACTGAAGAATATTTGTAATAACAGTGGAAAAAATTAACTCCAACCAGACTGCCTGTCCTGATTAGAGCTTCTTTGTCCTTGTATAAATGTGCCATTGTTGACATTACTGCATGATTTGTGTTATGGGCCGGGAATAGGATCGCGTCACGGGTCAGTCCACGGGGAAAAGCTCCTGTTTTCCCTTGTTCCTCCCCTTCCTAGCTGAACCTATCTTGGCGTCCTAGAGGGTGATTTGTCCAAGAGATCACCGAACTCTCCTTTTACTCTCTTTCTTGACTGGAAAATTGATATCCTCATTCAATAATGGGGTCTCCTTAAATAGGAGATTACAAGAGTCCTAATCAAAGGGAGTCTCCGTGCTGAATAGGGAGACTTGCAGTTCTATCTTGCTAAGGATAAGATAAGCTAATCCTAATCTGATAAGCTACTAACAAGATAAGATAAGAGCAATAGAATAAGATAAGAACAATCAAGATGATCTAATCTAATCTAGATAAGGCTGCTGTTGCCGAACTGGGTAGGATGAGAATCATTGAGTCACTGCTACTGTTGGCGGTGGGTCAGGTGCCTGCTGCTGCCGGTGGCGACGGTACATCTTCCCGAGGATTGCGTCCATAACAATCTGATTGGATATTTGTCCTTGCAATCCTTTCTTTATTAATCTAGTATATCACTAAGCATGCTTATATTGTTGTATGTATGTTGTGCCTTATGGACTTGTTTTCATCTCTCTCTCTCACACACACACACACACACACACACACACGCACACATTATGTGCTATATCATGGAATGTGGTCATATGGATTTGTTTTCATGGTATAGGTGGCCTTAACACCTGACTGGCTGACTTGTATCCCAAGTCAGCAATCTGTCCGTGCAATGCTAGACCTGCATCTTTCTCATTTTATAAATCGTGCCTCATAGGATGAAATTTGATGCTGACATGGTGTTTGTTGTTTCCCACCAACATATAATTTTAGTCTATATTCCAATAGACCTGTTCATGGGGTGGGCTGGGGCAGTTTCAATCTGGGCTTTGCCACTTTATTAATAGAAATTGTTCGGGTCCGGCCCGACCTTTGGACCTAGATCTTGAGCTCGAGCCCGGGCCTAAACTGACTGGTCTAGACAAAAAGTTCTACCTCTGGTGTAATTTAATAAAGTATATTATTTTAGTTTGGTAATAATTTAATAAACTAATATATGTTATATATAACTATTATATTTTATATTTTTATTACATGTAAATTGTAATATTATTGGATCGAACTTGTTTGAGAAAGCCTGAGCCCGAGCCCACAGCCTAAAAGTTTGTCCAAGCCCAATAAAGAATGGGCTGGGCTGGGCCTGCCTATCAGGTTACCTGTCCCATTAAGAGGTCTTTATTCCAATTGGTTTAACTGAAGACAGGAGATGTGGTGCATGGATTTAATATGTCAAAGTACTAGTGAACATGGAGACCTACATTTAAGAATTGAGAATAGTTAATGAGATCTTGTTCATGGTCCTTTATTTTCTGTTTTATTGTCCAAGAGATAAATTCACAGTGACTTTTAACCATGCAAGTTAGACTGTTAGATACATGGGATCGTGAATGTCTGTCACTAGAAACAGATTGTTGGTTGTTTTGCCATTGGATGCTATCAAGTTCGAATAAATGCATTGTTATCTGATGCAAATATATATATAGACGTGATGCAGAGAAACGTGCCGTGCCAATTGAAAATGGCCATCTTAAACTTGGTGGTTTTGTCCTTGTGCATTAAGGTAAAACAATTGCGCTCTCCCAACGAAAGTCACTGGAAGTTGATTTCAAGAATTATGCTTTTCAAGGTATAATCTGTTAATCTTTCTGCACCAAATATGTTAGGTAAAAAAAAATAATAATCCAGTGAAAATGCAAGAAGCTTCAAACCAATATTGTCCCCAAGAATCCCAAGAGAAACCCTGTACCCTAGATGGGAAGCACCCTCTACATCTCATGCAAACTATTAACAAGATCTCTAGAGTAGGAGCCAAGAATGAAATCATCAAGGGCCAAAAACTTTTTCCTATACTCTTTTTCCGTCTTTGACAAGCTATTCAAGTTGCTCCATTGCGACCTCGGTGACAAGGGTTTAAATTTTGGAAACAACCTCTCTTTATGTGCAGGGGTAAGGCATCATACATCTGTCCCTCCGCAGTCCCCCAGACCCCGCATTGATGGGAGTTTCATGCCCTGGAATGCCCTTTTTTGATGCTTTTGGTCTGGACAACAAATAATACAGCCCTTCATATGAAACTAATGGCTAGTAGTTTTATGCATTCTGTCTCCTGTTTGGCTGATTGATGCTTCTCCTGGAATGAGTTTCTTTGCCTGGATGCAATGATATTGTCGTTTCTTAGGAGGGTCTTGGAATTGCTAACATGAACTCATGCTTATTGGATTTTGACATCAAGCACTATGAATTTAAGCTTGTTTTTTTCCTCTCTGTTGTTGGAATATCTAATGCCATATCTGAAGGCCTGGAACTTGTGTTTCTATTGCTGGTTATTGTTTGGGGTGCCAAATTGATTAGGAAAATGTCCTGACCTTGGGTTGCCTTCTACTTGTCATTCCTAGTTAACCTATGGTAATTTAAATCTTCCATATATGGGAGGGACCAGTATCATATGTAATTGTGATTGATCTGTTGTTCTTTGTGATTTGAGCTCACTGAATTCCCAGATTTCATGTGGTTACTTTTAATGACTGTCATTGTGCTGGATTGAACAGATTTATGTGAACCAATCCAACCCTATTACACATGCAGGTCTGATTTTTTTATTCCTGTTTATCAATATTATTGACAGCACTATTTCTTTCCAGGGTTGAGAGGACCATACCTGATCATTGACAGCCCTATTTCTTTCTTATTTTTTGCAGCTTTAGTGTGAAATTGCATGCTTTACTAGTTTGGTGTGGGAATATTGGTGAGCGTTGACCTTTATATTTTGTGATGATCGTCATTGTTCTGAATATGTTGATTGAAAATTTTAATTCCTAAAGAGTAAATCTCAAAAACAAGAAAATTAGGCACATAAACTGATATACTCTATAGCGGCCCTTGAACGTACCTGATGAATAGAGTTCTCTCCTATATATACAAACATTTACATGTATATTATATTTCCCCCAAAAAACAACTATTGCTTTCCTTGATGGTGGTGGTCTCTCCCTAGCTGCTATTGCTCTGTTCTCCAACTTGTGTCCATATGTGTGTATAGTTGTAGCAATGGGATAATACATGCTTTTTTCATTTTATTGTTTCATATTCTTATTTTGACAATTTGAGATGTTACCATCTAACAGAGGATCACTGTTCTCTTTTTTTTATTTGTATCTGGAGTTTTGGGGATTATGCAATTTACGCACACTAACTGGACCCAATTGTTGTCCTGAAACTTGGTAGTTGAAACTCTTTGTCATGTATGGTTTTACCTCAATACCCAGAATTTGTGGTTATGTGGTGTTCGTAATGGTGGTGAAAAATTATTGTTATATATTGCCTGTTATTCTTTACTGTTTTTCATTTATTTCTTACATCTTGTTTGTTTTCCTCAACAGTTTCACTTTAAAATCAGTTATCTATTCAAATTTGACGATATGATAGATGGCAACATGAGTATATACACCCATCAGTTCCTCTTGTTGTTTTGTATGTAATATTTTTCTGAACAAATGATGTGTTGAATTGGATTGATGATATTTTGTCAGAGTATGCTCCTTTCATGAAGTACTGGGAGCTCTAAATTCCTTGGTCTTGTGATGGTGTCCTGGGAGGTCTAACTTCCCATTGTCTGAAGATCTCATTTACATCAGAAGGCTAGGTGTTCTTATGTTGGAGATCTTCCTGATTAGTCCCACTGACGAGATAGATCAACTTCTTTTTTCTTTCTTTTTTTTTTTTTTAATTTATCAGCAACAAAGGTATCTTTTTTTAAGATTAAACATAAAAGTACAATGAGAAGCAGGATAGTTAGCCTCCACTAACCATCCGTGAGTTACAATGACAACCACAGATCGATCTGTATGGTCAAATACAAGTACCCCCTTGATCAACAATTCCCCAATACAGAGAATCCTGACACCCCTTGTTTGGCCAGTCCATCTCGTAAGTTGTTAGAGGTCCCTGTTATCCATTGTATGTTCTCCCAATTCCTTTATTATCCCTTGATCTTCTCTCTTTTTGTATCTGTGTTTCCAAGGTTCCTCGTCCATACTCCCCAGTCAACCTACTTAAACCTAAGTATCTCCCACATGATTTCTGATTGTTCCTCAACCTGACGTTCCTGGGTTTCCCAAGCTGCAACCATCGAAGTTCAACTTAAAATATGGTGCTTCTGGTGGTCTTCAAATTATTACTGATTTAATTGGTGCAGAATCGGCAACCTCCTTACATTCCCCTGAGCTACCGCCGTGCTTGGGTGCACATGTGAAAGTTGTAACTAGTTCTTTTTTGGAAGGTGTCTTGTCATGCTTTGAAAATCTCACAAATAATAGGATCTGCTCCTCACAGATCGTGCCTTACCTGACCTCAGCACGTTTCAGCTGTGCATTGGGATCATCTTCCCATTAATAATTATTTTCGACTACCGAGATGTTCCAGATGCATGGCTAAACGAGTTGTGAAGTCGTTGTGAGGTGTGTTTTGTGGGGAGCAGATCCGAACTTGCAAGGAAAACATAGAACGGATCTTCATCTTGATATATATCCTAATCAGAATTAAGGAGAAACTTTCCCTTCCAAATGAAAGTGTTCTTTTCTCGTTATCCCTTGCCTTTAATTGAATCGGAAACCTAAGTGGTGATGTGCGCCATCCTTGGCAGCAACAAGTGGACTAGAATGGCCATCATTGTGGAATGAACAGTACTTCTACCGTGTGATTGATGTTGGTCTAGAAAGGTCATATTTCCTGGCTAAGGAAAGTAACTTGGGAAGTCAAGGGGTTTGGGGTCCTTTTGTTTCAATAAGATCTACTGGAGGTTAATTTCTTGATCTGGAGCCAGCCATTTGCGGATCCTTTGCATTTGCCTGTGTTCCTTAATTTTGATTTTGTATGTCATATTTGAATGCCAATCCTGTCACATCCGTGTTTTGTTGTTTCTGAAAAAGATGTGGAACTTTTTGCGGACCGGAGTTATATACTTGTCAAAATCTCTACAAGTAAAGTCATCGGTGGATGCCAGAGTTTTGAGAAATATTTGAGCTAATTCTGATTCTGTTTTGGTGTCAGATGATGGAGCTGCGACCTCTGAAGAGGAGCTAAGTTGTGGGGCGGTGGAAGCAACTGAAAGCCAAGAACCCTGTGAGCCTCTTACTGGTGACAAGGAGCTAAAAGAAATGCTCCTTCGCAAGTATAGTGGCTATCTTAGCAGTCTGAGGAAGGAATTCTTGAAGAAGAGGAAGAAGGGGAAATTACCCAAGGATGCAAGGATGACATTACTGGACTGGTGGAACGCACACTATAGATGGCCATATCCCACAGTAATTACGACCCTGATCTTAACTTTTTATTGTTTCTCATGGTTGGGAATATTATGTGGGGCTGGTGGAACGATTTACTTGGTTTAGTTTGTGCAGACTGCAATTTTGGTGTTCGTTTAAGGAGTGCGATTCTGATTGTTCATAACTGTGTGTGCAGGAAGAGGAGAAGATGAAACTGGCCGAGATAACGGGACTAGACCAGAAGCAGATCAATAATTGGTTCATCAACCAGAGGAAGCGTCATTGGAAACCATCGGAAGACGTGCGGTTTGCTCTCATGGAGGGAGTGGGTGGTGGCAGCAACATTCCTCCTATGTATTTTGATAGTGGTGGAAGAGGAACGGCAAGTGATGATCTTTGATTCCTTCACCAACTCTCCCCTCTCCAGATCTGCTGCATTCTTATTATTGTTGTCTTGTGTACGTAAAGCTTGCAAATGCATCTAATATATATTAGATAAGGTTTTACTATTATGCATGGGAGAACGAGAACGAGATGCTTCTTTCATGTTTTTAGAGTAAAATAACGTTGTACATTCAAACGCCCCTTATATTCATTTCAATACTAATAAGGTGCATGCAAAGGCCCTTTGTGTGGAAAATTTGTGGAAATCAAGTCATTGCGCAATCGTCGACGATGGGAACATATTTGAGATGGAGTGGAAATTAGAAATATATAGGCTTTTTCGTGTCTGGATGTAGTAGGCATGTTAGGTAATCAAGCTGTGTAACACGTCTCAGTTAATATGCATTTTATTCAAACGTTTTTGCTCCGTTGGACAAATTAATTATTTTTTATTATTTCTGTTAAAATAATTAAAAATAAAAGACAATAAAAAAGGAAAATGTAAATGAGTCTCATTTTTGGTACGAGGAGAGGACTACATTTTAAAATCCAAAAACGTTTGGATGTAAGGCGCATTAGCTAGGACATGTGTCCCATAATTATTATATGTTTAATCATTGTTCTTACTTAACGTGTCTATTACATCTGGACCCTTTTCCGTATGGTGAGAGAGAGTACCGTGGGAAAACTTCGGCTGTTAAAAGTGTCAAAAGTTTAACTGGACAGTCCTATTGCAGATTTCTGAAGCCCATTGCAGGACTATAAATGTTCAAAATGTCAAACAATTTTAATCTCTCATCTATCCCAAATATACTTTAGGCCGACCCTAGGCCAACCGTCTGTCTCCCAAAGTTTAATAGTTAGTCTCCTAGTTATAACTTTAAACCCTTTCAAACTTGAATCCTAAAGAAAATCAGAAAACCTAATATTTGTTTTATATTCTATTCCTAATATTAAAATGAAAAAGGAAAAACCTTGAAAGTTGAATCCTAAAGAAATCAGAAAGCCTACCATTATCCTTCTCCTGGTCTTCTTTGTGCCCTAACTATTTTTTCTATATATTCTTTTTCTCCCATCTCACATCCTTGTCCTGGCCCAAAAGAGAAGATACAAAAATAAATCTTTGAAGAGGTTTCATCTATGATTGAGTTCTTTTTTGCTCTCCGTTCATATTAAAGTTTTTTTTTTTTTTTTGGTATTTGCATATTAGAGTTTATGTACTCAGAGAGATCGACTTCAATCAATGCAAGGTCCGTTCGAATACACAACCATTACATCAAATAGGAACATTTTTGCACTTCTGTGCTTTATTTCATGGGGAGATATTCCCAATGCAAGGCTATAATGTGTGTTCGAACGGGCTTTGCACTGACCATGGTTCAAAGTATCGATACGCCTCTATGTATCGACAGAGGCGTATCGGTACTTAGATTAACACAGAAATAAGGTTTTTTTAAGATGTTATTAATGGGTTTTTTTACTAAAATCAACCAAGTTCCCAAAACACCTGTAAATAGGTGTATCGAGACCAAAAGATATGATACGATACGATTTGCTCCATATCATATCGATACTTTGAACCATGGCACTAACTGAATATAAAGAATTTTGTTAATGACTTTCTGTGCCCTCTTGATCTTCTCTACCATGGATTATCACTAGATGGCAGAATTGTTTTATCTGTCTTGATTCTCACCACTCTGTCATGAACTACACGTAGCTTTTGTTATTCTTAGAGGTGTAAAGTGGGTCGTGCTGAGTCGGCACTGCACGGCCCGTGGGTGGCCCGTGCAAAGTGTGGGCTGTGTCGTGCTAGCCCGTGGGTCATGCTGCCCTCTCGGGTAAAAAATTTGGGGGTCAGCTCGGCACGGTCCCCGGCCGAGGCCTATGCGAGCCCGTGTCGTGCCGTGCCGTGCCGTTCCACGGGCTGTGCTGGCCCGTGGGTCAAGCCGTTGGCCAGGTTAGGCCGTGCATCGGGCCAAATCTATTTATTTAAAAAAATTGACAAAAAACTTAAAATTTTAATTTTATATGAATTTTGTGTATAAAATTGCTTATATATACAATAATTAAATAAATTAGTATAATAAAATTAAAAAATATTTATTTTTTTAATATATTATATACTATATATTATTATATAATTATAATTTATATAATATTATATAGATATATAAAATATATATAATATAAATAATATATATGGCAGGCCGCGGCCGGTACGACCCTCTTAGTCGTACCGTGTTGTGTCGGCCCGTGGACCTAAAACTCTAGGCCCAGCATGGCCCGCATTATCGTGCTAGGCCTGGCACGGTTCGTGGACCATCGTATCGGGTCTTGGGCGGCACGACCCAATTTACACCTCTAGTTATTCTAAGTGGAGTAAAGTAGTTTTACTTATTAATTATAAACGAGAAGGCAATTTAGGATCAACACATGACGTATGGAAAAATTGGTTAATTCTGTTGATTGGATTTAGCATTTTGATCATAATTTCATTTTGAAAATTTTTTTCTATCATTTTAATTTTTTAATAAATTCTTATTTTTAATCATGTTTTTGTTTAATTTTTTTGGTAAAATCAAAGGGAGTCAAACTTTAGGAATGAAATTGGATATCACCACAATTATTTCTAATTACTAACAAATAGATCGCTCAGCTAAAATTGAATATCATCATAATTGTAGACATCTCATTTTTGTGCCCCTTATTCTTTCTGTAGCACTCTGAGCTTCAAGCATTATTTAGCTAATCTTTTAGTCAATTCGGGGGTATTTTTGGAATTTTACAAATGTTGGGGCTTCAAGGATCCAAGACCATAGGTACATAGAGCCCAAAAATATGAATTCGACGACACCAAGATCACCCAAATCCGACACTATTTACCCTTTCATCCTAAGACTTGAAGTCATAATCGATTTTGTTTGTCCGATCATAGTCATTTTGACCTTGAACCTTATTTTACGTCAAATCAGAAATCCAAAACCATAGGTACATAGATCATAAAAATTCAAATCCAACGACACTAAGATCACCCATATCCAACACTGTTTACCCCTTCACTATAGGAACCGTAGCTAGAATCGATTCTGATTGTTCGATCAAAGTCATTTTAATCCTGAACCTCATTTCACATCAAATCAGATTCGAGACCATAGGTACATAGATCTAAAAAATCTAAGTCCAACTATACCAAGATCACTTGAATCCGACACTGTTTACTCCTTCATCTTAAGACCCGAAATCTAAATTGATGTAATCATCTGATCAAAATCATTTTGATCATGAATCTCATTTTACATCAAATCAGAAATCCAAGACCACATGAAAACCATGTGTGTCAATGAACTGATTTTGGACTAAACCCATCTAATCTAATATCAATTTGGACAAATAACAAGACATTGGATTGTATTAGTCCAAAATATTTTTTAGATTAGACTGGACCTGATATTAATAAATTTATATTGGATTGGGTTGAATTATGCCAATATCTGAACCGTTGATATAAGATAAGAATATAAGTATGAATGAACCATGTTTGGATTAAAACCAATTTAAATTAAAACAGATTTGAACAGATTGAACGGTCCAAACATTTGTAATGGACTCACATTGAATTGGATCGGATTACAGCAAATCCAATCCAATTGACACCCAAGGTGTAAGGGTACAGGAGATGAAAGACTGGATCTTGCCAACTGGGCCCTGGAGACAAGTTTGTCTTAACTGTTGCTAACCCTTATGCAACTCTTGAAAATTGGACCTGAAGACTAGATGATTGGACTTAGATAAATGCCTCTTTAAATACTATTAAACAATAAGTTTATTAACAAATTTCCAAAATCCAAACAACCCATCCAACAAATTTTCACATGGATTGAAGGTCCAAAGCTTGGTTCATGTATCCTACAGTTGTGTTTTTTGTTGGGTTGAAAGAGGGATTCATTAAAACATAACAAACAACCAAAGATACAACGAGATTAACACAACACCAACAGCCACTGGAGTGGCATAAAACTACAACTAGAAAACAGAAAATTGATTCCAACCACAAAACTAAATTAAGGGTATGTTTGGTCGTAGTGCAAATTTATTTGTATTAGTACAAATGCATGGGAGTGCAAATGTAAAAAATGCAAATTCTTGTTTAATTTTGTTTTGAATTTTACTTTCTTTTGCTTAATCACTTAATTTACTTCATTTGTATTGTAATCAAACTCCACGTACATGACCCGACCGACTGCAATCGGTTGAGGCCAGGACAAGCCATCGATGGTATTGCGGGAACGACATCCCCACCACAGAATGGCAAGTGGACTGCCATCGAACTCCGCGCTCCCTCCCGACTTGTAGTTAGAGCAGAGCTACTTGAGACCACAGCTAGCCCAGTCAAAGAGCGTGAAGCCCTCCAAGCTCAGGTAACACCGAACTCCCCTGCAACATTGAGAGCTTGGATGCACTTCGGCCTGCCAAATACCGGGGCCACTAAGCCAAAGACCTCGGCCAACATAAGACCAAGGCCATAAAGTTAAAGACTTCGGCCAAAAAGAATTAAGACAAAGACCTCAACCAGCGTAAGACCGAGGCCAATGAAAGACCAAGGCCACAAAGTTGAAGACCTCGGTCGACAAGCATCAAATCAAAGACCTCGTCCAGTGTAAGATTGAGGCTAGTGAAAGACCAAGGCCACAAAGCTAAAGACCTCGGTTGGTGAGTATCAAGCCAAGGACCTCAGCTAGCGTAAGACCAAGGCCACAAAGCTAAAAACCTTGACTGGCGAGCATCGAGCCGAAGACTTCCACCAGCATAAGACTAAGCGCCATCGAACCCCAAAGTATGCTAACTTGAAAAAAAAGGGGAAGTGGATAGTGCACATCAAGAAATTTGCTCGGCAAAGAAAATCTCCATTAACAAAACAGCAGTACAATCACAAGCCCGACATACCGAGATGCATGCAACAAAAAAAAACCAAAATGGGAAAACGTCCCTCCAGGCCTGTTGTTCTATCCACGGGGAACACCTCCTCGGGAGTCGTCGCCCTGTCGTTCAGGGCAGGCTGCTCAGTTGACGGCTTCGTAGCATCGAAAGGACCGTATTGCTCCACTGTCGTGGCGATCTCAAGGTGCTTGCGCATCATCTCCTTTGGCAGCGAGCAAAACTAGTCTACTTGGAACCTGTAGCGAAGTCATCAAGGGCAATCTGGAACTCCTAGGACTCCCTGTACCTCGCTACCGCTTCTTCCTCGGAACAGAG